GGTGTGCACTGGTCGGGACATGGATCCCGGACCACGTGCATAGGTTGGTCAGCTGTCTATCGCTGATCCACCGACGCATACAAAAGTCGGGCTCACTCGGGAGTCGAACCCGAGGCCACACTCCTGGACAACTGAGCCTCAAGTACTGATAAAAATCATTCTTTGGACCAGGTAGTCAAACTAACGTTTGTTACATTTCTTAAAGGGAAGGCAACATTGAACCTTTTTTTGAGCAGTGTTGGATTGCTTGATTTTGGCACATATTGTGATTAGAAGTAAAATAATAATCCAAATTGTTGATTATATGACTAAAAGTCATTCTGAGTATTGCAAGCTGGAATATAACCAATGTCAGCTCACGATGAAATCCTGTAACCAATCAATTAAATCCCTACAAACCAACACTTGAATATCAATGAGTTGCTCACTGGCGACTTGCCCTATTATTCAGGTAGGTAGTTACCTGGGGTTCTAGTGAGAAGTCGTGACCAGTAGGGTGCAGCAGCTCAGGTGCGAAAACAAATACTCGCCGAAGACATAGGCTAGTGGTCGCGCTATATCGTGAATTGGCAGAAGTTAGAATTCATGGAATGGCTGGCCATTGGATCGGGTCCCAGTGGCTAAGTGGTCTATGAGCTCGCTAGCCTTGTAACCAGAAGGTCCTGGGTTGGAATCCCGGTGGGTGCGTGCACCTGAAGAGTCAGTTCCAAACTAGGACAGGGGAAACGGCTGTCCAGTACTCCCATCTGGTTTTCCAATGGTTGTCTAATCATTCACGTCGACTATTTAGTGTGCTTGCTAGCCAGATCGAAGGAATCTACACGTCAGATGGCTGTTTCATTCCTTTGGAAGTTAAACCCATCATCAGAGCAGTGTTGTATACTCGTTGTGATTGAGTTCAGAGAGCTGAATTGGTAATATACACATACATAAAAATCATAATTCACGCGTGCAGATTACACAATTCAAGGTGAAGGAAATACAGCACAGCACAGTTTCCTTTTTGAAACTCAGAATAATAAGAACACACGCTACCGCTTATCTTCATCATTATTGACCAGAGTATACCACCTAACATGTGCGTCGGTGGTATAGCGGTTAGGACGCTCGCCGACCATGCACATGGTCCGGGGTTCGATCCCCGGCCGACGCACTTCCTTTACCTCGCTAAGCCAGAAATAATGCTGGTAAAGAGGAAATGTTGGGCATGAGGCTAGCAACCACATCCTGTAAAATAAACACTGCTACAGAAACTTCAAGCCACTAGCTTGAAGCCCTATTTTCCACTGGGGAACGTGAAGGAAAAAAAAATACCACCTAACATGAGAGAGCGAGGGATTTTAACGCATATACACCAATGGTTAAATATAGTATCATGTGATAGTTTTCTTATGTTAATGGACTGGGGGTTGGGGAGGACGTAGGCTTTTACGTTTTTATAGGTCAAGGTGATTGTGGTTTTGCATTTAGAAATATGCAATGCAAAACTTAATGTGCTCTTTGTTTGTTTTTGTTTGTGTGTTTGTTAAATTTCGTGTTTAAACAAGACAGCGATAAAAGTGGTGATTGTATTTTAAATTTCACAAAAGGACACACGTACATATATATATATATATATTTTGGTGACGTGTATAGTTTTATCGTTGATGTTTTTGTTGTTGCCTTTAAGACCAAAAAAAAAACAACTTTTAAATTCTAATCTTACTTCCAATGTGTACATATGGTGTGAAATCGTTAAAATAGTCTGCTAATCTATTGTTATTATTATTGTTTCCTTTAATTCCTAGAGGAACATAGGGCTTCAGCTGCACGTCTCCATTGCGTTCGGTTCTTAATGCTTATCTGTTTACATAGTGTAACACACCCCCCCCCAGTTATTCTATTCCTGTTTCATTTTATTTTTGCGCATATTGTATCCATCTGTTCACATTGTAGTGAAAACCTCATATCGAGTTACCTGGAAGACGACAAACTGAACGAGGATATACACTGTTCCATTAAATCTTCGTCATCTATGCCTCAAATATTTATAAAATGTTTTTAGTGCGCTTTCAGTCTTTTTACCTACCGGTGATCAGTTTGTTGTCAACATTCCTGCTCATGATAGTCTCCTTGAATTTTATTTTCCTTTTCTTCCTTCACCTTTGTGTACTAAGTGGAGTGTGTGACAATTCGGCCTACTGCACTTTTGTACAAAGTTATGTGTTCAAAATCAGTCAAACCAGTCACTGAATATTTATTTGATTAATATCTCTAACTACTGTGTTTGAATTCAGTTAATCTGGAACAGGTCATTCATGTATTCATCACCTCCGTCTTCTCTATGATGTTCAGCTGGTGTTGTGTCTTCTCTTTGCCTGCCTCTCCCCTGCCAAGTCTTCGAAGTACGAAGTACAGCTCTTCTAGAGTCTTCTTGATAGTTCAAGCAAGGTATTTCTGTCCTCTTTTCCCTTACATTCTGTTGCATAAGGCAGTCGACCACAATCAGGAATATGCGATCGGTGATAGAAGGTGCAGCCTTGTTACATTCCTGTCTTCCCTTCATAGGTTTCTTCGCTGAGTTTTCTATTGTGATGTTGGTATCCAATGAAGTTGATGAAGGTTTCGGTTAGTTGGAACTGTTGAAGCAGTTTTTGAATTAGTTCTCAGTCAACGCTGTTGACGAGCTTTTCAAAGTGGATGGGGGTGGCGGGAAGCGGGGAGGTAGAGATTTAACTGTGTTATGTTATGGTGTGTAGCGTTGTAATTTCATGAGCAAATTATTTTCTGTCTGTGAATGCAGGTTGTTTCGTTTGAAGTTTTGTATCCAGGACGATACGACTTAATATTTCGCGCTTGGCGTGGAGAAAAGCATAACTTTGTGGCAATTTTTACATAGATTTATGTCGGCCTTGTTTAATAGTTTGACAGGCGAGCCTTTTCTCCAATGAGTAGGAGAGTACCCACCTACCTACCTCTCCTTCTTTGCAAGCGTTTTGCAATAGTGGCTTGCAGATATCCTCTGAGTTGTGTGCATGTGTGTGTGTGTGGATGTTGTTTTTTTCTTCAGTGGTTGTGGAGGAATTTCGTCTGATGCTTCTGGCTTTCCCGGTTTCTCGGTAGCATTATGAGATTGCGGACTTTGTTTTCATCGGAGGACTGGTTTTCACTGACAGTTGTTTGGCTCATAAGAAAAAGGCGTAAACAATCAGCGAAGAAAATTTTCTTTTCGACGATTCATTTTCATAAGCTGTTGTACACAATCGTAATTATATTTAACAAAGAAATCTTTAGACCAATCAGATACTGGCAAACTTTGTCCTCGGAAAGTGTATTACGTAATTTCAGGTGTAACCTAGAAGGGATGACTAATTGTAAGTTAGAAAAGAGGTAGAATTTAGCATGACGCAATAAGTGTGAGGTAATGACTAATCAATAAGCTCGTTTAGAATGGATAGGAACTTTTTATTTTTGTGATTTGTTTGAAGTCATAGGATTGGATTGGGTAACTGCTTTTAGTCTAACCGCTATCCAAACAACATTTCTGGCATGGTAAGACCTGCAGAAACATAAGTTCCAGCCAGTATAGCTTGTTGTGTCATTGCGGTGTTCAAGCCCGACCACCACGTCAAGGTAGCAGCTTTCAGTCGGGACGTGGCCATTGAGAGCGGAAGACATGAAGAGATTGTCTGTTTTTGACCACAGATGTTTACGATCTCTTTCTCGCATTAGGTGGTATAATAAGGTAAGTAATGTTGACGTTAGGCGTAGAGTGTTGGGCAAAGAGGGAAAATCACTCGAAGAGGCTATAAAGTTACATAGATTGAGATGGCTGGGTCACGTGCTGCGCATGCCTGACCATCGTCTCCCCCGACGGACGGGCATTACTAGCTGATATAGGTGCAGGCTGGAAAAGAGTAAGCGGTGGCCAAACAAAAACATGGCCTCATCAATCCATGAAATCCTTGACAGTTAAACTGAGTCAGGTAGGGAGGGAGATGCAGACTTCCGGGTTGGGGCCCGCCCTCGGGACTCTAAGAATCAATGGCTGGAGACAGTAGGTGGTGACATGGCTCAAAATCGTTGTCAATGGCTTACGCAGATGTATTCAGTCTCTTTAACCTTCCTCCTCCTTTCTACCATTACTCATTCTGTTTCAATCTTATACTTATCTAAATTCTATTGATTCTCTTCACTCATTTTCTTGTCTACCTTTATGTGCTATTTGGAACGTGGCAACTGGAACTGCTGGACTTCGGTGCCAAGTTCTATGTTGAATCCAGACAGACAGACAGACAGGATAGGAACTAGTGGAAAGGCGATAAAGTGTTTTATATAAAATCTGTATGAAAAAGCAATGTTGTTCATAAACAGTAATAGAGTGGTAATAAAATGTGGATAATGGGAATAATAATAATAATAATAATAATAATAATAATAATAATAATAATAATAGTGAACTTAGACAATAAAAAGAAGAAGCAAGATTTTAGTAAGAACTTTACTTTGGCCACGGTAGGGCGAGTGAATGTATGTAGTGCTTTTGAATGCAGAGGTCCGGTTTCAAACCCCGAATTACTAATGCTTCAGCTATGTACAGATGGCGTACGCGTATGTGTGCAGCAGTGTGAAGCATTCATGTAAGTGGGGCTGCTCGAGATGAGATGACATGGTGTTCGAGGGCGGAGCTGCTGCTGTTCTTCTTTTCTTCTCTGGCTAGCTAGCCAATCTGGACACTGTTTCAGAATACGTTTGTGGACTTGACGTTACATACGGCCGACATACTTTTCTCCACACGAGCAAGTAAAGTTGTTTGTTTGTCGGTGGTGGCGGTATTTCCGGACAAAATGGTGAGGGGCTTAATAATGATAATGATTACACAAATGTATTTTTAAACTTTTTTTCCTTTCGAGACCATGAGTGAGTAAAGGAGTAAGCAGCGATTTCAGTTGTATATCTTGGAGTAATTTTCCCCTTTCTTATTCCCCGTCATCGTTGTTTTATTTTTTTGTATTTTGAAGGAAGAAAAACGTCGTCATAGACTGTTGTTAGCTGAACAAATGTCTGCGTTGACGCCTTCCCCGGCAAATGTATCATCATCAGTAAAACCTACGCTAGCTTGGTCTGAAATTGCAAAGTCTGAAACACATTCAACAACAACATCACCAAAAACTAATGATGCATCAAAAGATGAAAAGTTGGCTAAGCGTGTAAGTTTAAATTTGAAATTTTATGAAACACACTTGACAGATTGGTAATATTTGTTAAGGGATAATGTGTCACTGTCAACTATTATTGTTTTGACTAAATTAATCAACATGTCTTTTAAGTTGATAGTTGTTTGACGACATATATACCGATGATGTACTCCTGAGTGAAGTTTCTGATCAGCTGCACAATCGTCTGATCACCTGGATGCAGAAACCTCAGTTTGTTTATCCTGCAGTCCCATTCAAACCTACACACACACACCCGTCCGCTGCTATAGAATGTAACATTATGCTACAGGAGGACTTCTGTACACTGGTTTCTAGTTGAAAGATTTAGAGAAGAGTTAGTTAGTTAGTGCCAAGTTCTATGTTGAATCCAGCCAGCCAGCCAGAAGAGTGTGTTGCGCGTGCTACTGTGATAAGATTTATCAGTAGTATGTAAAGAGATGTTCATCGGCCGGCATAAAAACATCAAATAGCAGGGAGAGATAGATTTCATGTCAGTCAGAGAAAGTCAGTGATACAGCGTTGTGGAGATGTGAAAGAAACACACAAAGAAACACAGTGTGAAGGAACGTTAGAAGTAGCACAACACAGAAGATCTGTGCACAAATGGTGTGGCGTTGAAGATAAGGTGGACATAATTTGGCTATAAAGAGATACCAAATTTTTTTAAAAAAAAACATTATTATTGTTTCCTTTAATTCCTAGAAGAACATAAGGCTTCAGCCTCGCGTCTCCATTGCGTTCGGTTCTCTGCTGGAGTCTTCACCTGGCTCCAAGTCCGCCCACATGCTTTCATCTCCTCTTCACGTGACCTCCTCCTTGTCACCCTTGCACTGACGACCAACTCGCCACTTCCCTTTTGAGTTCCACTCGAGTGATGGCTTGTCTAGTGATGTCACTTGATGCTTTGTTTTCTCAGAGTATGGCCAATCCACTTCCATTTCTTCCTGCCTATTTGTTTCACAATTGGTTCCTGGTTGGTTTGCTCATTGCCAGAGATGTCTGTTGCTGATCTTTTCCGACCATCTGATCTTGAGTATTGAGTGAAGGCAGCTGTTAATGAAGGTGTGTAGTTTGTTTGAGATGCTCTCTATGACGCGCCAAGTCTGTGATCCGTATAGTAGCACTGACTGACTTCACATTGGAGTTGAAAATCCGGAACTTAATTTTCATGCTGAGTGCTGTTGATCTCCAAACAGATTTGAGAGTAATGAAAGCTTGTCTTGCTTTCGCGATCCTCACTGGTTTGATATCCTCCTCAGTTCCGTGTGGCTGTAGTTGAAACGATGCTTCCCAGGTAGGTAGGTAAAGGAGGTAGTTTCTTTCAGGTTCCTCTCATTTATGCTGATTGTTGTCTGTTGTTGTTGCTGTTGGTATTACCCAGAAATCTCCATCACCTACCTCCGTTTTCTCTATGTTCACCTGAAGTCCTATCTTTGCTGCTTCTTCTATCGCCAACTTGTTGCTTTTCACTTGCATATCTTCCGGTTTGTGGGAAATCAGACATATATCACATTGGCGAAGTCCAGATCCTCCAAGTTTTTTGTGTGAGTCCATTTTATGCCTGTTTCCTCATTGCCCTCTGTCTGTTGCATCATCCAATCTACTGCAAAAAAACGTACCTTTACCAAATCTCTTGTCTTTCGCCGTTATGCTAATACTTCAGTGCGACACACACTCATGTACTTACACTCTTATAAAACATAAAGAAGTAACATGATATCCTTTTTCTTTTGATAGAATAATCAATTTACATTAATGTTGACTAACTAAAAAAAATCAATTTTATAATTATAAAACACAAAATGATTGAGCAAACAATATCCTTGTCGATAAATTCCTCTTTCAGCTCTAAAACAACAATACTAGTGTTTTTTGTCTAAATAATATCGATTTGTAAAGTAACATTAATATAATTACAGTTTATTAAATTAATTATATTAATAATAAAGATTTCATAGCAAATAGAATATCAACTAAAATTAAGGAAAATTCCACAAAAATTCAGGATTATTCAAACCTAGATGGCCAGTGGGGTAAGGACAATGTTTGAACTAACTTCTTTTACAATTGTTTATCGAAGAAGTGAGTAGCCCTGAAGAGGTGGGGGGAGGTAACTGGGAGATTGCTTTCAGTGATTCTACTAGCACCATCGTGTTTCCACCCAGGAAAAAACAAATAAGTCGCCATTCCAGTTGATGTATGTAGGAGGAAACCACGACTACCAATACGTAATAACACAATCTGACCCGTTCACCGAAAGTGGATTATGACGAGGCTGAGAATGTTGGGAAAAAAGCCGTGAAATCTGTACAGAGAGAAAAGATGTGATATGCATAACCTTTGAGGTTGGCGATTGAAATAAAATGTATAGAAACTAAGTGGTGGTTAGATACGGGCTAGGTGTTCACGTAAACTCCTTCCGAGGTAGGAAGGGTCACACACTGTTACAGAGAGACATGGTTCCTTTTACACCATGAAAAGTGGTTAACATCAGCCAAATAGCAGAAATGGATACAATGGGATAAGGAAGCTGGAACCAAGGTACAACAGGAAGGGGGGGGAGAACGAATAAGGTCGGAACGGCTCCGTTCGAAACTATTTGATGCTGGGGGAAGAGTGTGGTGTGTGCTACTGATAAGATTTATCAGTAGCATATAAAGAGATGTTCATCGGCATAAAAAACATCGAATAGGAGGGAGATAGATTTGATGTCAATCAGAGAAATTCAATGATACAGCGTTGTGGAGATATATGAGGGATGTGAAAAGGGTCACAAAGTAACACAATACGAAGGGCAGAAGTGGAACAGCACAGGAGATCTGTGCACAAATGGTGCGTCGATGATAAGGTGTATATACTTTATCTATAGGGATACCATATTACAAATCATCATTCCTTGATCAAGTCTTTTGTTTTCTGTAGTTGTCAAATTTAAACATGCCACTAGTCCATGAAGTTTTTGACTATTAAATACGAGCCACTTTGGTAACTGTGGTCGTCTACCTGGCTGGAGGATCCGTAAGACTCTACAAACCAATGGTGCAGAGGAAACTGTTGATTTCACGGGGTTTAACCATTGTCCTGAGTGGTACAGATGTTGTATTCATATTCTTCCTGTGGTTTTTCACATTCATCAGAATTTTCTCATTATTCTCTCATGTAATTTATTCTTTCTCATGTACATTTCCGATGATTGTATAAACAAATAAAGTATAATTATATTTTAATAGTTTACACACAATGATAAGTTTTGTTATTGGTAATAATTCGAGCAAAATCAAACAATTCCAACACTGGTGTGAACACGGGCAGTAATTTTGCTCGAAATATTACCAATAACAAAACTTATCATTGTGTGTAAACTATTAAAATATAATTATACTTTATTTGATCTAATCCACAATGCTCAAACTTTTTACTGATATTGTATAAACAGTTTCTACGTATTTCCTCTGAAGTGTTGCTCCATACTTACTTAACGTTTTGAGTCGTTGATGAATTTGTTCAGTTCGTAATGTTTTATAAGGTTAATAATAATGGAAGGCAGCAGGATCAAACGGCATCTCTCCCAAAGCACTGAGGATGACCCCAGAGATTACAACAGATTTTCTCACTCCATTATTGCAAAAAGTTTGGAAAGAAGGAAAGGTGCCTACTGATTGGAAGGAGAGCTGGCTATCTCGTCAAACTGTCAAAGAAGGGTGACTTGGGCTTGCGCAAGAACTGACTGGCGCGAAATAATGCTCTTGTCCACCCCAAGTTAAATACTAAGTCTTAAACTAGTTCCGAATAGCCTTCCAGAACTCCCTGCTCTTCATTGTCCGCTAACTGGAGTCAGTTCGTGACCATTCTTGAAGTTGTTTTGAATTACCCTGCTTATTGATTATATTGTGGAGGTGTCCATATGAGGGAACGATATGTCATCAGCAGTCGAGCCCATCTGTCAAATGACTTCAAATTTAAAATATCTTGAAAAAATAACAAATCATACCTGTTGCACAAGAGGAGTAAAGATGGATCTCGTGGCCCCATTGGCTAAGTGTTTGAAACAATGGATGCTAGTTAATTGGCGGATAGTGACTAGCAGTGGAATCCAGGTTAACGCACATTTCGTCCTATTTGGGACTCGTCATTTGCACGTACCTGCATTCCCCAGTTAATGATGATGTGCATCCAGGATTCCACTGCTAGTGATCATCCACCAATTAACTTCTAATTACATACCCAGACATCGTCGAAGCATCTGCACAAGAAGCCAACAGACATGTCAACCTGAGACCGATCAATCGACGGGAAAATTCGAAAAACTGAATGAAATGATGGATGCTAGGTTCAAGTGTGAATGAATGACAACGCCATCTTTCACTGAGATGCAGGTGTATCCACCTGACGACTCCCAAACATGTCGAAATGTTAGTCCTAGATTACACTGCCTACCCACCAAAGGAATGAAACACAGACAAATTCTCACAGAGTATTTTTTATGCAGCTTCCTTACTCTTCATATCACCCGTGCAGATTTCACATGCTTTATACTACTTACAAGTTCCTGTTAGTAGCGTATGCTGTAATTTTGTACAAAAACAGTGTGATTCATATTATCCTTTCACTGTTACCTTTTGAATTTTTCTTTATGTTCATGTGCATTAGACTCCTGGCGTCGCTCAACCAATTAGCAGTAATACTACACGTCCACAGAAATTCAATCCTCATCAACATCACACGATAAATGTTACATCCGTGTCAAGTATAAAATCTGTTGAAACGTCAACACCACCTGGTCACATATCATCATTATCATCAGTGTCTAATATTGTTGAGATGAAGAATACCACTACAAAAGTTCAACTGATCAATTCAACTGATAATACTAATAATAATACAACAACAAAGAAATGTCAATCCACTGCACCAATTCCATCAATATGGGATTTACCTGTATCTAGTACTCTGGATAATACTACGAATTCTGTTGGTGTAAAAAAAGCGAGTAATAAAAAGAAGAAAGTAAGTTCTACCTATCTACCTACTCTTATGATCACTTTAATATTGTATATCTGTATAGTTTCCAGGTTAAAGAATGTCTCTCTCTAAGAGGGATGAACGCATCAACAACCCTGAAACAACAACCAATCGCACTCGGAAGATAAATTTCGATCCCTAATCCCCCTTAATTTTGCTTAATCTAATCCTAAACAGTCCTGAAATTGAAATAAGAACAAATTAGTTCAGCGAAGAGTCTCTTTTCGGCGAATTTATTCACTTAGCTGTACAGTCGCAAATATATACAATTAATTTTGTGTGTGTGTGTACATTAGGTTTGTCAAAATCAAAATAACAGATAGTATGGGTTGTTGATTACATCATCAAAATAATAAAGAAATTAAAATGTGTGATTAATAATCAAAGTTGTAACTAAGTGGGGTGAAGATTGGTAAGATGTGAGTAGGGTTATGTAATATAGACATGTTTAGAAAGATTAGATGTTAGTGAAGGAGTATGGAGACAATTATGAAAATAAACTAGATAATAGGTGAAAAGATTCAATGGGTAAGTTACTAAAATTATTATACGAAAATTGCAAAAAAATTTGATAACAAAATATTGATGACAGATAAACTTGAAATTAAACCCACGGTAGTAGGAGGGGGTGGAGAAGTTTCTTCTGTGTGCATAAATCAGGCTTTTCTATCCAGATCGCTAAGGGTTCGGCAATACAAAGTATACGGAAGCTTGTCGATTTTGGAAGGCTTCTTTTGACTTTATAGATAACTTTGAACGACTTCTCCTTGCAAATCGAATGACCAGTGTTGAGTATATGCTCAATAATGGCGCTCCTTATTGTTCCGTTGTTACCTTTCCGTAGCCAGGCGGGATAGTGTTCTTGAACTCTTTTAGATAAAACTCGCATCGAACGACCTATATACATCGCTCCGCAAGAGCAGGTGAATTGGTCCTGAAATTTTCTTTTGCCTAACCCTCAACTGACTAGATATCTTTTTTCGCACTGTTCTTACTTAGACTTCTTTCATCAGTTTTCTACGAACATAGTGTCTTTTACCTGGTTTCATTGACTTATTTTGCTTGTGTGCACTTCACCAGGCTGATTGTTTCCTTTTGTCTCCCGTTTGATATCTGTCCTTTAACTTGGCCGGTGGTGGTGGCGGCAAGCAGTGTTGTTTGTCTATGGTTCTTGTTTCGACCGATTTCGACTCGTCAGTTTGATATGCCTGCACGTCTTGTGAGTTATAATGTCCTTACTGAGACTCGACAACACCACTCATTGTTTCAAACGCGAAATTGGGAAAAATGGGCTTGATTCAACCACCAACCAAGTAATCTCAAAGGATTGTAGAAGCATCCATGCTTGGAGGAGAACTTGTAGAAATCAGCGGGAAATACAAAAACAACATAAATAACAATACTTGTATATTGTTTTAAATATCATGTAGGTAGGTAGGTAGGTAGGTGTAGGCTGCCTGGTTGCGGTCGTCGGGATGCTAAG